TAGATGTCTACACTTTCTGCTTATAGACCTCACGCACACTGTTTGGGGTCCCTTGCCGGGATAGTTTTGGGACTACCCTGAAGCCCACGCGCCAACAATCACACACTCTCAAGGCAAAGACAATGGTGACTTTGATAATATTGACCACTCCCACGCCGAATGAAGCATGCATTCCGAAATTCTGTCAAAGTGAACCCTGGTGCCCTGAGTGTCCGCACACGTGAATACTGTGGAACTGCTTCTTAAACCCCAAGGTGTTTCAATCAATTTTTCTTCAAACAGTGTGGACACACTTAGGGGTTCTTACGGTAGTGGTTCAGCAGCTGTGCTTAGATCGCTGGGGCGCGCGGGCGTGGCCGGCTAACTCGCTGCTATTTACAGTACATTCATGCCTCTCGAAATCGCCAATGTGCATTTCGACTGCGCAAGCTCGCTGAATCTGGGTGTCCGCGGCGGGTGCTTTCTAACGACTGCGCTCTCGTTGTGGCGCCATGTGCATTTTCGCACATGGTGGTCACTTTTCGTGGCAGGTGCAAGGGAACCTCGTGCTTCGGTGGTCCAAAGTCGACTTTTCGTGACAGGAACAGCGCTTTGTGAGCCTCGAAGTGCAGATTTCGTGGCAGGCGCAGCGCTTTGTGAACCTCACAGTGCAGATGTCGTGGCAGGTACAGCGCTTTGTGACCCTCAAAGTGCAGATTTCGTGGCAGGCGTGGGGCAAGAAGGTGCCATTCCAAAGCATGCCGTTTGTGAGCCACGCCGGGGGTTAAGCCAAGCGCAAGCAACGAGCCCGCTATAGGTTTCAAAACAATAAAGCGTCTCAGGAATCCAGGAAGCGACAAAGCGACGAAGCCACCAACGAAGCCACTAGACTTGGTTTGCGTTGCGGGGGAGGCGCTGCGCCCCTTTTTTTTGAAGGAGACCAAAACAAGAAAGCAACCCAGGAAGGCATACTACTGTACCTTGGAATGGCACCTACCCGCGAAGTGATATGACATCACATGCGTGCTACATATCAACAAACTTAAATCGAAAACCGGAATCTTTTTCACAGAGTGAAAGCATTGTATTCCAAGGTAGCAAACCTTTTCTGAGCCACGCGGGGGTTAAATTCCCAAGTAGCGTAGCTTTTGTGAGCCCCGCGGGAGTAAAATTTAGAGGAGGAAGATGCCATTCAAGGTGGCATACCTTGTGTGAGCAACGCAAGGGCACAATTTAGAGGAGGAAGGCGCCGTTCCAAAGCATACCATTTGTCAGTGATGCGGGGATTAAATTTAGAGCAGGAAGGTGCCATTCCAAGGTAGCATACCTTTTGTGACTGATGCGGGGGTGAAACCTAGAGGAGGAAGGTGCCATACCAAACCATATCTTTTTTGTGGGCCACCCATACCTTTTGTGCGGGATGCGGGGAAGGCCCATACCAAACCATACCTTTTGTGGGCCACGCGAGGGTAAAATCTAGAGCAGGAACGTGCCATTCCAAGGTAGCATACCTTTTGTGAGTCGCACGGGGGTTAAATCTAGAGCAGGAAGGTGTCATTTCAAGGTAGCATACCTTTCATGAGCCACGCGGGGGCAAAATTTTAGAGCAGGAAGATGCCATTCCAAAGCATACCTTTTGTCAGCCATGCGGGGAATAAATTTAGGCAGGAAGGTGCCATACCAAACCATACCTTTTGTGGGCCGCAGAAAGGCAAAATTTAGAGCAGGAAGGTGCCATTCCAAAACATACCTTTTGTCAGCCATGTGGGATTTAAATTTAGCGCAAGAAGGTGTCATACAAAATCTTTTGTGGGCCACGTGAGGGCGCAATCTATAGCAGGAAAGTACCATTGTGAGCCACGCGGTGGCAAAATTTAGAGCAGGAAGGTGCCATTCCAAAGCGTGCCGTTTGTGCGTCATGCTGAGCCAAGCAACGAAGCAACCAACGAACCCTGGCAACCAACGGGCCCACCAACGAAGCAGACTTGGTTTACATTGCGGGGGGAGGCGCTGCGCCCCCTTTATTTTGAAGGAGACCAAAACAACAAAGCAACCCAGGAAGGCATACTACCTTGGAATGGCACCTTCCTCCTCTAAATTCGACCCGCGAACTGATATGACATCGCGTGCGCGCTACATATCAACAAACTTCTATCGAACGCCGGAATCTATTCCACAGGGCGAAAGGATCGTTGTGCTCCAAAATGAGCTGAATCATGTGTTCCAGAATGAGCTTAAACGAAAAAGTTCTATGTGTCCCAACATGAGCCGAATCGTGTGTACCGAAATGAGCCTCCTCCCCGTCCGTGGCGTGTCCTTTAACGCTATCTGGGGACTATGCTGGTGTAATTTTCGTTTTGGAAAGGTTGTTGTAGCGTAAACAGACAATTTGTTTGAATAAAACATGGTCGTTTTTGATTTCGGACTGCAGTGGGCATTTTTTGAGAAGTACCACCACTCCACAGTACTAGTGACTAGTGATTGATGCCTTTGTGCCTTTGCGCAAAAATGTTTGCAAGTGAGGCAAAAACCTTAACATAGTAGAAGGCGTGACCGAAAAATGGCAACAAACGATTTCTTCTGGAAGGATATAACGCTTGCGTAATTTGCAAGAACACTAAGGTGGATATTTTTTCCTTGGGGGTTGCGCGGGCATATTCGTATTTTTTTGCATTCATTTCAACCTTGAGCCTTGCAAAGTCTGCGCAGGAGGCGCCAGCGGGGACTCGACTCTCTGCACAAGTGTTGGTGAATGGTATCTATTGGCAGCGTGTCATTGAGGACATGCCGTGCAAGCATGCCCATTTTGAGGCTTTGCTCATGCAATGCAGTTGGCCTAAGCGGTCTAAAATCAAGCAATTTTTTCTTGCATGTTTTGTGTTTTGGACCCTGGCGAAGCAGGATCTTGTAGCTGCAAGGTTGGTGCATCAAAGGACACCTACCGCTGTGTGCCAGAGCGATCTTGCGGTGAGTGTCAACATGTATCCACGCTTGTGGTGTTGTACTCATCAGCGCATGATTCGCGCGAACATTTTGGCGCACCTTTGGTTCCACTTTCAATCCAATTCTGGAGTCTTTTTGGGTCTAGCTTCCAAGGGGCTTGCGAAACAAAAAGGCAAGGCTTTCACAGGCTGGCGGCGCACCCAATGGGCCAACGGTGTCACATGACTGAAAATGATCCTAGCTCTGCAGTTGAGTGGCCTTTGTGTTGGTGGACTGAAAGATGTAGAGTTGCGTGTCATGTGAGGCCAGCAGAGCTCTCACTTCATAGCGCCAATCTTTAGCCTTTTACAAAGGGTACAGGCTTTTTCATTCACACTGCAACAAAGTGTGCCAGATCCTCAACAACTCTTTTGCGCCGATGAGCATGGGGGGTGAGTACGCTGGAGCCTTCCCACTGTGATTGCAGAGTTGCCCTCACATAACACTGGCCATTCGACCAAACCCGAGCACCTTAAACGCGGATGCAGCGGCGCTCCTCAGTCCGAGAAACTTAGGTAGCGTTTGTCATTCTGGACTCTAGACAGTGGATAGTTCCTACGCCGCGGATTTTACTTTGCACGTGTGTGGTGTGGTTTTCTTTTTTTGACCACTTTCCTGTTTTGTCGCGCTGCTACGGGGAGAGTGGTGAGATAGACTAGGTCATTGAAATCACATGCGCACGCAGTGTGCGTGACGCGCAACCCTTGCTTTCCACTAACGCGCAAACCACGGCTTTGGGGCAACTTTCATGGTGCTGTTGAAACGTCGACAATGTGTGAATAGCAATGTGTGGTTTAAGTATATCATAGTCCATGGTTGTCTTTGATGATTGGCACTCCGCAAGGTTCTTTCTGGATTCCTTTGCATTCGCTAATCGACTGACATTTTGGGGGACGCAGGAATGTCATTGCAGTTCGAAAGCTCTTTCCGGAGTATGTGGACAAGGAACTGAAGCGGTGGACAATGTGTTGGGGTTCAAACATGCTACCTTTGTTCTGTTTGAGAGCGCGTGATCATTGCAGCGTATGAGTGGGATTGTAGGGCGTTGCTCACCAGCTGGAGTTTGAGAACATGATGCTTTGGAATGTTTTGCTTGTAGTCAGGAGGGGAATGAGGTCATCCGCTTGGCAAGTGGGCAAATCCTGCATTTGGATGTTCGAGATGACATCAGAGAGAATGATGAGGAGAGTTCTCTGGATATGCATATGTGTGTGTGTAACCTTTGGAGTCACAAGGTTCCTTTTGGATTGTTTCCTTTTTTTGCAGGGGGACTGCCTGACTTGTAACAGTGGCAGTCCAACGAAGAGGCTGTTACGAGTCAGTGTTCGTCGTATCGTTGAGTTGGAACTATGGCCTTTAACTAAAGGCGCTCAGGCCTCCTTACCTACCATGGTTGCTCAAGCGGTCCTTCATCGGGAAATCCTTCATGTACATGGATTGTTGGATCTTATCTTACCGCTGGAATCCTTCATTCCCGTTTGGCTATTACATCAACTCCTTTCCTGGATCAGGCCACCTCCCCCATCTTCAGGTGCAACTTCGTGGTCTGGACGGAGCTATTCTTCAAGCGACACATGTCGTCCATACACCACCCATGAATTGATGACCACTTTCGGCCTGAAAAGGAATGCCTCCCCTCGGGGAGGCGTGTGTGTGGTGTGTGTGTGTGTGTGCGTGTGTGTAACCTTTCGAGTCACAAGGTTCCTTGGGGTCTGCCTGACTTGTAACAGTGGCAGTCCAACGAAGAGGCTGTTATGAGTCACTGATATGGATTCTGGACGCAGAATCCACGTATTTGCTTGGTTATGGCGTTTGCGAGCTGTTACCCTCATTTGCCATAACCGTCAACTCGACCTGTTCGTCGTATCGTGGAGTTGGAACTTTGGCCTTCAACTAAAGGCGCTCAGGCCTCCTAAGCTTACCTGGTTGTTCAGGAATCTGGTTTCTTAGGTTGCCGTGTGGCGAGCGGCGTTGGAGTCAGTACGCAAAACTTAAGTGTGCGCGCGTATCTCTTGAATTCAAAGGTTCAGCAATTGCTGTTATTCAGTTTAGTCTTCATGTAGTCTAGCAGGGAGCCCCTGGCAGGCCCCCATCACCAGAAGGAAGGCTTCCAGTGGTGGGTGTAGGGTACAAACAACTGTTGATCAGGATGTGATTTTGGTTCCAAGGTTGTTCTCAAGCGCGTTTCTTGTACCCGAGCCCCGAGTGAGTCCAAAAGTCCTCGGGGAGTGAAGGAGCTTTACGCACACGCCCAATTTTGTTTTCGTTTCACCCCAACAAGGACAAGCAAGGAACCGGCAGCCATCCTTCAGCAGATTTTGCAATCAAATCAATCCGTATAGCGCCTTGAATCAGAGCACTGATCTCAGCATCTTCAGGTGCCACTTGCCCTTTCTGTTCTATCGTTCCCAGGCTTGGCTGGCTGGAGGTGGTAGGAGGCATGTTTTCCCAGGTTTCTCGTGCGGAGTGCTTAGGTTCAGGCTGCTGCCGAACGATTCAAGTCTGCAGTCATGCACTTGGAACTTGAGCCTTTGGACATTAGTTATGGCTTCCACTTTTGGAACCTCCGAACCTTGTTTGTTTGGGTCCTTCTGCGTTACTTGCGGCTTGCTTGGGCCAACTGAAACGCCTAGGCCCCGTCGGGTGACCTCCGATCCAAATTGCCCGGCGCGTTGAATATTCGTTTCAGCCCAATCCAAGCTTGCAGATTGCAGGAGTTTTTCGAGCCTGCGTATGTAGAAGCAAAAGAATGCAAGTGAATTACAAAAGTTCCGGCTTCGCAGAACTAACGTCAGACCATCTACAAAAATCTACGAAAGGCATATCTTGTTGCAAATCTTCCGTAATGCCGGAAGTTCTTCAAGGTTGTTCAAATCTTTAAAGTTAAGTCAAATTACAAAGGCTTTATGCTACTTCCAAAACGATTCAATCTAATCTCTTGCGCTGAAAATACTTGGGTCTAATCTCTTGTAATTCTTCAAATGCAAATGCCGGAATATCGGCTATGCTTGGACGTCTTTTACCATCTGCGGTGGCCTCTATATCCGGAGTCCCCGCCGGACTGTCCGGATTGCCACCAGGACGAGGACGAGCCTGAGGATTGCCACCAATCCTGACTCTCTTGTCTTCTCCATTGCGTGCACTCCTTGTCCTTTGGCGACGATGCTCAGCAGAGGCTTCTCCGCGTACACGGATTCGGATGTTGGACCTGGCTGCCAACGAAAAATTGCATTGGAATGGATGGTGGAAAGCCTCATCGCTGCTTATGAGGCAGAAACCCAAATGATCTAAAATGCTTGAGAAATTCGTTGGGCTTAATGAGCGTCTCCTTTTCTGCAGAATAATGTCGGATGACCTTTTCTGCAGTGTGTGCATGTCCTTACCGTAATTCAGTGGCGATCTGCAGCAGGCAGTCGACGTCGGCATCGCGTCCTTCTAGTGCGGCGAGTTGCTCGGTAGCAAGCGTCGAAACTTCCCAGTTATAAGTCATGCGTTTACTGGGCTCGCGCAACTTTTCTGCAGAAACAAGAATCTGGTCACTGGTCCAAGATAGTTAGGACTGCGCCGGTAGCCGGATCGGAATGTCGATCCTGCCTGAAATTACGGTTGGTGAGCAAATTTGCATCACACACAATGACGTCCAACTGGCCCGCCACGGCCGTTACCATAATTTTTGTAAGGGCTTCCTTTCCCGCCGTTATGCAATCATTGAATGCATGGGAGTTCAGGTGAAACGCGCAGATTCTTAACTCAGGAAGGTGCGTTCGCTTACAATCACACAGGCGTCCAGTCCGGAATGTCGGACCCTTTTGGAACAGAACCTCAGCATCAATGGGTTCAACCTGGAGAAAGGTATAGTGGACCCCTAGCACTTAGAATATGACCAAAAGGATTTTTTGATTTGGTCCGTATGTCCCAAGGTCACTTGTCCATTTGTCCGCGGACGTGCAGATAGAATTTCCACACATCCACATAGAATATGCGCACCACACTTAGAATATATGCAGCGTGTGTTAATCCAATCACACTTGCCTCAAGAGAGATGTGCAACATATCCAGATAGCGTATTCCACACGCAGATAGAATATCCACACATCCACATAGAATGTGCGCACCCCACTTAGAATATATGCGGCGTGTGCCAGTCAATCACACTTGCCTCAA